TTCGCTGGACAACAGGCACCTCCAACCCTCCGCCCGTTCCTCGTTCATTCTTTGCGCACTCGCCCCATGGAAGGTGCGGATGGTACCTGCTCCTTTCCTTTCCGGGAGGGACGATCCCACAGCCTCCTCCTGCAGAAGCCAGAGCAGCACCAGTGCTCCCCAGGAAAACTTCCGCGATTCGGGGTGCCCCATCACTCCACTGCACCACTTTTCCTTGGCACGAACTTTCTGGTGCGCCTGGCAAGCAGTTTCCACCCGGGCCGTCCCTCTCTCTCCTCTGCAGCCACCACCTCCGTTCGGCTGCCCACGGCGTGGGATGAGTGGCTCCCGGAAGATTCCTGCTCGGTGGCGGAAACTTGTCTGCTACAAAACCCAGCATTTGGAGGTTGCTGGTGCAGCACGGAACTGTCAAAGCTCAGCTGAGCGGAGGGCGGGGGGTGGGCGAGAGAGGCAGGAGCAAGGGGGCTGGGAAGGATGGAGAGAAACCGGGGAGCCGGCCTGCCCTCTGGTGGCCATTGGTAGAATTTAGTACAAGTACAATACAGTCTACAAAAGCGTGATGAGTGTTTTTCCTCATCCTGGCCTTATTTTGTAGATAAAGTAAAAAGTTACTTTGGTGGAGCTTCTCAACAACATGGGAGACTATTTGCAAACGTGGGATTCTAAACTTCCTAAAATTATGCAAACATTAGTGTTGGAAGAGATTTGGTAGGTGATAAATTCGAACCTTTTGATTAGAGTGGGAATCTATTATTTACCTATTGCTGATGTCTCCACCCTGTTTCTCTATAAAACCTCTAGTAAAGGAAACTTCACCAGTTCCAAAGAATTCATTTTTGAACAGCTGTTAGCATCAGGACATTTTTCTTCTGTTTGCTTAACAAAGGTAGGAATCTGCTGTGGTTAATGCATTTGTAAATAGCTGGAAAACTAAAGCATGGTCTCAGAAACAGAGGGGTGACTTGAATTTGAAACACTTGCGTAAAATCAAGATCAGTTATGAGGCCATATTATATCTTGTTATTGAAATACAACATAGAGCAGAACAAAAAAAAGATAAAATTGTTGCAAATTTTAAAGAAATGGTAGCTGTGGGACATTGGGAAGAACTATAGAGGGGGAAAATCAATAACATTTACACCAAGCCACAGTCTGAGGTAAAATTGATACAAAATGTTTTATAGATGGTATATAACTCCATCAGTGATTGCCAAAATGGGCAAATTAATTAGTAATAAATGTAGGAAATGCCATAACAAAGAAGGAACTCTATCACATGTGGTAATCATACCAAAAGACTCAAAGGTATTGGAAAGAAATACACCAAAACCACCAGAAAAATCTCGAAAATAAAATTTGAAATGAAAGTCTATTTACATTAGTCATATCCCAGAGAATACAAATGAAAAGCATCATAACTTATTAAGACATATGCTGATGGAGTCAAGAATTAACTGGGCACAACACTGGAAAAAGCAAATCTTGCTGACAATATAAGATTCAAATACTAAAATTGGAGATTATATGGCAATGGAAAAATTGGCTATATATCTACATAGCAGAACTCTAATCAAATTAAAACAGGAATGGTTCCCTTATAAATGTGTGAAATAGCAAGGTAAGTTAATCCACTTACAATATGGCTTTTGGAAAAAAAGGGTTTAAAAATAATTAAAATGGTCTAAACAGAAATAATAATATAAGTTTAAAATAAAGTATGAAAATAGTTAAGTGGCAGTAATTGTTTCAAATGGTTTTTTAAAAAATGTTTAAATTGTTGGTTTATTGTACACTGCCCAGATTCATATTTGTGAGATGGGCAGTCATATAGATTTGATAAATAAAGAAAAAGAAAGAAAAGAGGAAAAAAAGCTGCTTGAATGATTTTTCTTATAGTTGTCATTCCTCTCTTTCTCATTTTATATTTTTTTTTAAAAAAAATTGTTGTCATTGATATTAAATCACATCTTTTGAATTCTCACAGTGATATTTATCAGATGTTCAATTACTTCCTTGTACTTGTTTTCTGGAACATCTCTGAACAAATCTGCCCCATCTTCTGCATGGCAGCCATTTGGTACTTGAAAGCAATTTTCTTGACTTCCAACAGTTTTCTCCAGGCTAAAAAAAAAAATAATCAATACCTCCAACCATTCATCATTTGGATTTCATCTTCTTCATATATTTATTCTTCCAGACCCCATATTATCTTGCTTGTTGTCCTCTGGACAGGCTTCATTTTGTAAATGTCCTTCCTAAAATATGAAATTGTATGTAATATTGTAAATGTGATCAAATGTGTGCAGAATAGAAACACTGATTTATCTTTCTTGATATTTCTGTTTTTGAAATCTAGGCCAGGGGTCCCCAACCCCCCTGGAATGCAGCCCACTACCAGACCTATTCAGGGTGTGTGAGCACCAGGCTAGTGCTCAAGTGTGTGCGCAAGCTCCACTCAGGCTCCTCCAGCTGGACCACCAAGCCACAAAGGTTGGGGACCATTGATCTAGGGTCCTTCCTCCCTCCCTCCCTCCCTCCCTCCCTTCCTTCCTTTCTTCCTTCCTTCCTTCCTTCCTTTCTTCTACCATGCATTTTATACTTCTTGTTCATGTTCATCATTTGATCCATCAAGATATCAAATCCTTTGACTATGAACTATTCAGTATGGTTGCCCCATCCTGTACTCATATTTTAGATTTTCCTTACTCTCTTGTAAGACTTTGCATTTATCCCTATTGAAATTCATCTTGCTGGTTTCTATATTTTTCCATCTTCTCAGAATCCCTGTGAATTTTGATCCAGTCCTCAATCCTCTGTCCCTAACTTTTGTTATTTAAAAAGGTGATAATCATATTCTCTAATCCCTCACCCACTTTATTAATATGTTGATCAGAAAAGAGCCTACAATAGTGTTTTGGTACATCACTTGACAAGTCCAACAATGTGGTGCTATCGATGTACTTTTGTTGATTTTGATCACTAAATAAACTCTGTATTGATAGAATGGTAGCATAACCCAATCCATATTTTGCCACCTTCACTAGAATCTGGTTTTGTTGAAAACTTTGTTGAAGTCAAAGTAAATTATGTTCACCACATGGGCAGTTAAATGGGTCCTCCATCAAAAAAGGAGATTGAGCTGATTTGGATTTATTTATTTTTGATAAATTATGTTGGTTTCTGCCAAGCAACGCATTCCTTTCTAAATGCTCATAAACCAACTGCTTAATAATCTGTTCAAAAGTTTTGCCCTTTATTAGTATAAAGCTGACCTAGATCTTCACCATTGTCCAATTGTCTACCCTTTCCATTTTCCTCTTTTTACTGCTGACTTAATGAAAAAGGTCCTTTGTGGCATTTAACTTCCTTTGTGAGCCTAAGCTGCTTTTGGCTTTAGTTTTTCTAACTGTATTTCTGAAGGTATCAGCTGCTTACTGGTTTACTTCCTTGGTGATTCCTACCATGTAGCTAACCCTTTTATTCTTAGTCCAGTTGCAATTTTCCTGTGTATCCCCAATAATCTAATCTGCCTGCTCTATTTTTTTCCTATTTGGAGTGGTTTTTAGTTCTATTTTCAGAACTGATTTCTGAGTAGTTCCTAACCCTCAATTTCCTTTGTTCGAGTTTTATATCTATGGGATCCTTTTTAGCACTTCTTTAGTTTGTTGAAATTGGCCTTCCTAAATATCTGTGTATGTTCAACGTACTCATTTCTGTGTCTCCCATCCAAGTTGCAAATACATCAGATTTTGTTTCACTTTTAAGATTATTCATGATTGGCCAGACATTATCATGTGACCCAACAACTTTAAACTGACTTGCACTTAAAGGCTGTTTATTGCATAAAAGCAATGTCTAACTGAAACAGGCTAATTGGTTTTTATTCCAAAACATAAAACCAAAACCCAACAACATTCCCATAAGGGCTCCAAGAAGTTTTGTTCCCATAATATATTTGTTCTGTTTTTGAGAAAGAGGCATTGAGACAAAGCGCGGTTTCAAATAAGTCCTCCTTTATTCCAAACAGCAACAGAACAGCTTACAAAATGGTGCGGTTACTTTTATAGTCCCCTGCAAGGTACTTTGCTGGCCAATCGTTGCAAGGCTTTTTTTCCACCTTGCGCATGCGCGCAAAGCTGGAAATAGCCCCTCTGGTCCCGGGCATCCACGTGGTCTGCCTGGGCTAATCGTTGCAGCCTGTGTCTGCAGGCCCAGGACATAACACCCCTCCCCCCTTGGATAAAATGATAAGGCAAACTTATTATTTTAAATACTCCAACACTCCATTACATTGTTTACATTGCATATATACACAACAAGCTACAATCTTACTACCGCCATACTCCCCACTCCTCTTGATCTACATTTACTTAACCCAGACTACTAGGCCTGCCCCTGAACTGACAAGGACCTTACATAGTCCTGTAAGTGTTTTGGAGGACCTCTGGTCCGCCCTGATCTTCTCGGAGCCGGAGTTGGTGCCTGGCCTGCGAGCTCGCCTGCCAGGCTTGGCAGATCAGGACTTTGATGTCCCCTTGACTCAGGCGACCCCCCCAGCTGCTGACTGGCTGGATCCACTAAACCCAAGCCAGAGTTCCTTGGGGGGGTGGAATTCCCCAAGTCCACAAGGGACCCCTCTTGGGAACACTGTCCCTCGAGCCCAAGACCAGCAGCTGGAGTGGCCTGAGTAGCCAATTTGTCCCAATAGCCCCTTGCTCCAGTGTCTCTGCCGCATGTTCCAGAGTCAGGAGCCGCCTCCATGGCAAACCCCCTTTCTGGAGCAATAGCTGGAGCCTGTGAATGTCGGATAGACTCCCCTTCTGGAGCAATAATTGAAGCTTGTGAATGTCAGAGAGCCTGTGGTCCACAATCATAATTGTGGTCCTCCTCCCCCCCCAAGAGCAGAGCCAGGAGCGGAAGTGTTGCTGGGAAGCCTCCAGTGCAGTTGGTTAATGTGACGTCGGATCACACGACCATCCTCCAGGGTTGATGATGCTGACTGGGCCTTTCCTCCTTGAGGCCTTCTCTCCGAAGTCTGATGCAGCCGGTCCACTTCTGATTCTGGATCCTGTTCATAGTCTTCCTCCGTGACCGTCCTTGTTGGATGGTGACTGGAACTTGAGGGTGCTTGGCTAGCCGCAAGGCCTTTACAGCTCCGCCGGCTGCTTCTTCAGCTGCAATTTCCCTCAAGGCATCTTGGAACAAGAGGTCTTCCTTAGTGAAGAGCTTCTGCTGCAACTCACGACTTCGCAGGCCACAGACTAAACGATCTCTGAGCCTGTCTTCCAAGTCCTTGAACTCACAGGGCCTAGCTGCCTGTCGTAGGGCTGCAACGAATTCTACAGCAGACTCACCAGGCCTCTGGTCCCTCTGCTCGAACGTGTGTCGCCAGGCAATCACTGAGAGCTTGGGTTCGAAGTGCTCTCGAAGCATCCTCTTCAATTCAGTGTAGGCGATTGATTCCAGTGGTGCTGGGGCAACCAGATTCTCAGTGATATCGAACGTCTCTTGCCCACAGACACACAGCAAACTAGCAGCTTTGAGGCTGTTTTCCCGGATTTGATTTACCCGAAAGTAGTTCTCTACCCAGGCCACGTACGAACTCCAGCATTCTGGATGCGCTGTGTCAAACTCCGACAGCCGGCCTATCTTAGACATCATTGCAGTCCAGGAACTTCATCCACGCCTCTTGCTGCAAGGGTTGAGAAGGGGTCCCTTCTGCCAAGCTCACCTCCAGCGTTTCCGTACTGGCAGGCCAAGTCGTAATTACCGGATGCCGCGCTTCTCCGAGCTTCAGGCCTCCCGTGGTGAGTCAGCCTAGCTTCTTGTGTTGTTTCCCTTGCAGGCAATCCCACCTTTATTGCCAATGTTCTGTTTTCGAGAAAGAGGCATTGAGACGAAGCACGGTTTCAAACAAGTCCTCCTTTACTCCAAACAGCAACAGAACAGCTTACAAAATGGTGCGGTTACCTTTTATAGTCCCCTGCAAGGTACTTTGCTGCCCAATCGTTGCAAGGCTTTTTTTCCCACCTTGTGCATGCGCACAAGGCTGGAAACAGCCCCTCTGGTCCTGGGCATCCACGTGGTCTGCCTGGGCCAATCATTGCAGCCTGCGTCTGCAGGCCCAGGACATAACAATATTGAACCATAAATAATAAAACAAAGTTTTAGCTTAATGTGTAGCGTGACCTTGCCCATGTGATTAGTGAATTCAATGGCACCTAATCAATATTATCTGGCCTCAAAAAGCTAAGCAGGATTAGCCCTGCTTGGTACTTGGATGGGAAAGAACAAGATAAAATTATATACAAGTTGATCTAAACTCTGTTTGCTTCATGAATGCATCTGTACAGTTTTCTTAATAGCACTAGGGCGATTTCAGCCCAGTTATATTCTAAGAAGAAAAGACTAGAGGGAGTGCTATCAGGCTGTCCTGAACAACTGGAGAAGAGTTGGGATATAAATATAACAATAAAACAAAACAATACAGTAGTTTGCCATTGGCTTCTTGCAAGACACTTATTTTCCCTAAATTCCCTTGCTGATTTTCTTCAGCAAGGGAGGGAGATCTGCTGTAGCCAGTGATATTTTTCAGGCTTTTCCACACATTTGCTGGTTCATCTTTGCTGAGTGCTCGGTATGCAGTTTCTGTGCATACAGGTTGTTGTTAAATCATGGAGTTTTGCCATTGGGTGATTTTGCACAATATATTTCAATTGGCTACTGAATTAACCCATTATAAGGGTTTGTGCAATATGAGATATAAAACAAGACATGATTGGTTTCTTTCATATATTGAGTCATAACAAGCTAACCAAAGTGAAATCCAATCAAACTTTGCATGTTGTACAAACATAAATTCAGCCCCTACATCACGAGTGTCAAACTTGATTGCGTCACTTGATGTATCACGATGTATCACAACATTTTTTGCCTTTGTGGAGCCAGGGTGGGCGTGGCCTGCGTATGACGCATCCGACCTGTGGACCGCCAGTTTGACACTCCTGTCCTAGATCATTTGACTTGTTTATGCCTGCCATGCAAATCTAGCCCATATATTTGGTAGAGTTTAGGACTACCAGACCTGGACTGAAAAATTTCAGATGATTACTAGATGGCAGCAAAGATATTTCTGCTGTCCAGTCTGATAGCCTTAATGGAGCTTGAAGTTTTGCAGAAACTGAATGTTGCTTACTGATATCCAAGAAAGCCTCTGATAAACCTACTTGTTAACTTTCACAGTACTGGAAGATTAGGAATACAAGCAGTCATCTTGACTTTCCACAATGTTTTGGACCTGGATGTTATGACCAGAGTACGGTTCAATATTTAAGTGCCAGATGGCCTCTAGTTTTGGTCATTTCCAGGAGTCAGTAATAAATTCTGATACAGTGCTGCAGAATAGTTCATGAGTGCCAACTGCCAATAACAGCTTCCTCTTTTTCAGAACAACACAGAATTCCAAAGTTGGAACAAACTCTGATGGTAGTAGGGTAAACTTCTATCTTCCCTTACTTCTGAAATCTGATATACTCCAGATGTGCTCTACTTGTTCTATATTCCAGCTGTTAAGTAGTAGATAGGAGACATTAGAACAGGGGTGTCAAACTCAATTTCATTAAGGGCCGCATCAGCATTGCGGTTGCCCTCAGGGGGCCGGGTGGGTGTGGCCAGGGTGGGTGCGGCCTACTGGGTGGGCATGGATGGAGTGGGTGTGGCCTACTGGGTGGGCATGGCCAGCTCTACATCATTCATGTCTAGGGTGCCTGTGGAGGCCTGGGCAGGAGTGGGACAGATCTGAGGGTTTCTGGCAGAAGGGGGTGGGACCAGGGCAAGTGCCAAGGCATGGTCCACTGGAGGAGCCTCACTGTTCCTCTCAGGCCATGTGAAGGGGGCTGGATGGTGGTGCGGGCTGCCCAGAGCCCTGGGCAGCAAAGATCAAAAGCCCAGCCTGGCCGTTGAGCACCCGCGGCATCAAGCCCAGCCCCACTTCCCCAAGGTTGTTGCTCAGGGTTCTCCTGGTTCCTCACTGTTTCCAGACAGCCTTGTGGAGCTAAGACTGAATGCGTTTCAGCATAGATGGCCACCACTACAAAATTGTACATTGGCTCCTGGCCGGCCTGGGCCAGGGCCAAGGCAGAGGGGGCTGTTACCTCACTGTTTCCAGGATGGCTTTGTGGGCCACATGAAACTACTTCGCAGGCCACATCCGGCCTCCGGGCCTTGTGTTTGACATGTCTGCATTAGAAAAACCTCTACTACATAGTGCAAGTTATTGATGAAACTTGATATTGAATGATGTGAAAACTTAGGGAATAGCAAAGGGATTCTTGGATGTTCTAGATTCTTACCAAGATTTGTGGCACCAGCCCCAGTTCCAGCCTTTGGATGAAACTCATCACACCCATGACTTTATAATATCTGACCACAAGGGCATCACATAGGAAGAGGTGCAAAATAAATGACATTTAATGAGGAAATACTTTTAATTTTTTAAGTTCAAATAGACCATATATAGAAATATTTTTAAAAATCCCACAATCATAAGAATACATTTGGACATAGGAAAGACAAATAACATTTGTTTACATAGCACCAAACCTTTTAATGATAAAGCACATATTTCCATAACTTCATGAATTAGCATACAACCTTCAAATGAGATTTCTGGTCTTTTTGCCAAAGAAATTATAGTTTCCCAGATATGTTTAATACTGATTTTCCACAGTTCCAAGCCTGAGAATTCCAAAACAGATAGTTTGCATTATGTTGAAGAAGGCTATATTACATTTTTGCCTCCATCCTCCGTGTGTCTTGATCTATACATGTAATGAGATGAGTTGATTGCATAGTGAGAGAGAGAAAAAGCCGCTCAATAAAATTTATATCGGGGAATCACATTTCTGAATATTTATTTACATCAGTGTTCCTCAAATATGGCTGGCTAGGGAATTCTGGGAGCTGAAGTCCATATATCTTAAGGTTTATCATGCTTGAGAAACATTGCTTTATATTAAAAGCACGCAAAGAGAAAAGAACTGTATTACAATCTTAACAGTTAATTTTCTCTTTGTTTGTAGGATGCTTTTTTAAAAAAAAATCTTGGATGAAATTACTTTTGGAAGGTCCTTCTCTGTAGTCTGAAGCTATAGAGTCCCACTATGCTATACTAATTCTGCTGTACAAAAGAGCATACTAAATATGGCATTAGCTGCATTTATACATAATAAACTCCACAAGGAGGAATTCTTTTGGCAGGACTTGTAGCATCAGATCTCCCTTGCGCCCAGGACTTTCTGTCCCTACAGATGGATCGTGAGCATTTCCAAGACCAGAAGTAACATGTACCATTGTATTCAGGTTATATTTGAGATTAAGCTGTTATAATGTCTGAAGCTAACATTGTTCCTCTTAAAAGAAGAAAATATAGGTTGAGAGGAAGAACTTTCTTATTAGGGACTTTCATATTCACTTTCATATAAACTGTTTTGCTTAAACTAACAGATTTTCTTGTCTCAAACTTGCCTTGACTTGTTTGAAAGGAATCCTCCAAAACAGCAGCTGAAAGAATTCTTCACTGATATGGGTCTCTCTCACATGCATCCACATGCACACACGCATGCACGCGCACACACACACACACACACACACAAAATTAGAAAAAAGACAAAAAAAGAGGGACCTGGAAAATTCTAAAACAGCAACACAATGCTCTAATTATTTATTGGATATATAGGTAGTCCTTGACATACGACCACAATGGAGTCTGGAATTTCAGTCATAAGTTACTGTGGTCATAAAGTAATGCATAGGGCCAGAGTGAATTTTGCTGTAAAGCAAATCACTGCAATCGTTAAGGGAATCACACAGTTGTTAAGTGAACCATGCGGTGGTTAAGCAAATCTATTATCCCACATGGGCACTTTTTGCCAGAAACCAGCAAAAACCACAGAAACAGCAAAAAAAAAAGTCACAAACTGCAGTCACGTGACCACAGAACATTACAGCCAGCTGTAAATACAATATGGTTGCCCAGCGCCCAAAATGCAATAGTGTGGCTTTGAGGGAGGCAGCAACTGCAAAGATCATAAGTATCTTTTTTGTGGTCTGTCCTAACTTTGACTGGATCACCTACAGGACAGATGAAATGACCGCAATCCTAGGAGAAGATGAAGAAATGAGGACATCTGTTTCAAAATTTCCTTGGCTACTTCTTCCTTTGGGAAGCAGTCCAGGCATCTCACAAGGCAAAGTGAAATTCATGAAATAACATTTCCCAAAATAACATTCCACCCTCTTTCTGGTTGTTTTCACAATGATAATGCAAAACATTTTAGCACTGGGGAAAGAAAAAGCAGCACTGTCTTTTTAGCTCAACAAAAAAATGTTCCATAATCCTTTTTTGTTTCATAGGACTTAACGCTTCTCACGGCAGTGTCCAATTCTGACTGGAAAGGTATAAAATCAAAGCCACACAGTGATGTGATGTAAACAGACTTTCCAATGTGATACAATTAGATCCGAAGTCCACGAAGAATCTCTCCGCAGGCTGAATGCATCTCCTCCTATAACTTGACATGTGCTAAGAAAGTATTTAAAAAAATACTGATGGCTTTAGCGAAGGGAAAAAAAGCCATCCAAGGTCCAACAGATCCTGAGTGTTTTGCAAAGTGGAAATAAATATAAGGGTTGGTTTGTTTTTTCCCCAATCCCAAAGTAGTTTTGGCTGAGATTACTTGGCGGCAACTTGAGATATCATCCATTCTAAACCAGCAGGAAGGCTGAATGGAGAAAAAGAAAGGATTAATACTGGAAAACCCAACATTAACAATTCCTAGAAGAAAACTGATATTAACTTGGATCCTTTCAACAAAGAAACCATTTTCTTCTCTTTATCGGAGAACCTAGACAGGTTGCATCAATTGACTTCTTAAAAAAATTGCATTAGAGAGCACCTGACATACTGCTCCAGGTTCTAGCCTCTTTATTTTCAAAAAACTTTCTAGGTTTTGCTTGGATCTCCACTTGCATTCTAAGAAAGATATCAGCTAAGAAAAAAATGTAGATGGTTTCAACTAGATCGGGATCTCCAAACATTGCAACTCTAAGACTTGTAAACTTCAACTCCCAGAATCCCCCAGCCAGCCATGCTGGCTGGGGAATTCTGGGAGTTGAAGTCCACAAGTCTTAAAGTTGTCAAGTTTGGAAATCCCTGAACTAGATGCTCAGGATATAAAAAAGATAAACTGAAGTAATGGTCAGCATTTGAAAGGCTAATGTAACTGTACTATTTTGCCTACTGGTAAAGGGATGTTTTTTGACCAGCCCCATCAACCCCTAAGCAACAATTATGGAAGAGTATCCAAGATATGCTCTAAGGCAGTGATGGCGAACCTTTTAGAGACTGAGTGCCCAAACTGCAACCCAAAACCCACTTATGCATCGTTGAGTGCCGGGTGGCTGTGGCCCATCGAGTGGGCGTGGCCCATCAGGTGGGCGTGGCTGTGGAGGTAACAGCAGACTGGGTGGGACTAAAAAGTTCAATCAATCAATTCCAACTTTGCAAGATCTTTTTTTTCCCGTGAGTTGAAATTAACTGATTGAACCTTTTTTTTTTTTTTTGCACACAGCGGTGGAGGCCTAAAGCGAAAAGGTTTTATAAAACCCAGCTGAAGGCCTAGGACTGGGGCGACGGCGCGCGTGCCTACAGAGAGGGCTCTGAGTGCCGCCTCTGGCACCTGGGCCATAGGTTCGCCACCACTGCTCTAAGGCACGGGTGTCAAACTCGCTGTGTCATGAAGTGTTGTGACGTATTGTGACTTTTTTTGCATTGCCGCAGCTGGGGTGGGCGCGGCCTCCGCATGATGCAACCGGCCCACGGGCTGGCAGTTTGACACCCCTGCTCTAAGGAGTCCAGATAGGTCCTTCACTTTCAAAAGGATGTATTTCTGCATTCCTTAATTTTAAACTTGGGTTGAATCGAAAGGATAGCACATATTATGCAGAAACAACCAGAAACCAGCCTTTTAAACAGGACACAGTAAAGGCTGTCCACAGTGAAAATGATTTTCTCAATTACTTCTAGTTGATTGGGCAATCTTTATGATACTTTGTATGAAAAAACAAATGTTTTTCTTTAGAGAAATTATACATGGATATATTAATCAGATGCAGCTTAAGGAAATATTTTCCTCTTTTCCCCACCCCTTCCACATTCATACATTAAAAACAGTGCTGGCCATCTTCAATGTTTCTAAGAACCATTATTAAAAATCAATCAATTCAAATTAGATGAGTTATTAACCACAAACATTTCCATTCACGACGTATTTCAACAATTGAAAATAGTCTTAATCCATTTAAAAGTGTTCCAGGGCTCTAATCCAGGCTTGGCAAGGAGACAGAAAGCTGCATTGTGCAATATTCAATTTATTGGCCTGCTAAGCCAATTTACTTTCAAATTATGTTCCTTTATCAAGAGAAAAACTTTATACCTTTTAAGATTGGCATTCATTTCACACAGGAAAGAGTTCTATAGCAGGGGTGTCAAATTTATGGTTTGACTGTTGTCCCACAACAAAGCCCACATAGGCAAGGCAGCAGCAAAGAACAAGCAGCTGCAGAGCTGTGCTGGTGGGATTTTGAAGGTTTTGAACCATCGCAGGTGCGGTGATGGCATGTAATTGCCCTGCAGGTGTACAGAGACTGTTGCTGCTGAAATGACCATTTGTCAATGTTAGTTGGCTTCAGGAATGTGTGGGATGACATGGGATGACAATAGCAGCCACAGGATATTTTACTGTTATAGCAGATAGCATATTTTTGCTTTTATGTGTCATCAATAGCATCATTTGCATTTAATTTGTAGATTGTTATTAATTATAAATAATAAACCATTTTAATTATTGATGAAATTGACATAATTGATAGCTATTTGCAGTGCTTTTTTTCTAAAAAAAAAAAAAAGGTGCCAGAACTCACACATGTCATACAACCCGCCTTGCCAACCTACAAGGTTCCATCCAAAAAAGGTGCCGGAACTCCATTCTGGGCGTTCTATGAGAAAAAAAGCTCTGGCTATTTGTATTTAATATGTGTTGCATATTTGAATGCAAGGCACCAATTAGCACACTTAATGTCATCTGCTCCCCTCCCACCCTATTTGAGTTTAAGACCCCCATTCTAGAGTGAAAAGCCTTCAGTTGTTCCTAGCATACAGGAGGTGTAATTCTGGTTTACTGACCCCTCTCCTGTGAGTGCACAGCATCCTTGAATATGCCACGGGTGGTCTCTGATGGAGCTCAGGGTGAGGAACTTCGAAATCTCAGAGGTAGACATGGAGTTTTTTACATCTTGCTTGTTGGCAAATATCAACACAGCTGCATTACGCAGGTCCTGGGGAAAGAAAAAAGAGAACATGTTGTTTGACTCCGGTTTCCATCAATTCATGATTCATTCAAAATGAGAGAAGTAACAAATAAAGCTATCACATAAAGGTCAGAAGAGAAGACAGTCACAAAAGGAATTCCCAGTAGAATGTCTGTGGCTTAGCATGAGCTATGGATTGAACATGGTCTGTTTATTTCTCGAAGCAAGTTGTGAACCCTCTTCAAAACCTGGATGTGCCATTGGGCCTGAGGATCCCATGGAAGTGGGGATCCTGTAAATAATTGCACTGCACCCATTTAGACTGTACTCCCTCTTGTCCTTTCATACTTTTTAACTAGTTTTAACTGATTTTAATAATGGTAGGTTGTAATTGTTAGTTTTCTTTATCCATATATGCCACCCAGAATCACATGCAAGTGAGAGGGGTGGCCATATAAATTTAAAAGAGAAATAAAAAAACAAATTTAAGCACGATATGGAATCTAGCAACTGTGGTTTAATAAACCATTAATTATGGCTTAGCATCGTGACTACATTCCGTTATTATTCTACAAACAATCATTGAAATAGATTGCTGTGAAATATGAATAATGTACCTGTAGTTTTTAATTAGCATACCACCATTGTAATTATGGTTTATGAAGATATAATATGTGAGGCCAAACAATGTGATTCATTTAACAAAGTTTAATGAACAAAAGCATAGTTTCCTATGCTGTGTGCACTTAACCAGAATTTCTGGAACAGAAACCTAGTAATCAGACTCCTTCTAGGATATATGCCACCTTTCACTAGTCTTCCTCCAAAATCTCCAACTTCTGGATCCCTTTTTTTTCAAATATCAACATCTGAACTTTCCCTGTTGCTCTCATTGAATAGCCTGTAGCTCTTACTTTCATATGCAGGATTAACCTTTCATCTTTGTCCAGAATGTCCCAGAATGTTCATTCTTGTTAATTGTCTGTTTTATCTTGAACAATTAAGATATTGGTAAGAATTCCCTGGTCTCAGGGCAGAAAAGACTTAAAGAAAATCTTCACATTTAAAAATAATTCACTGGCAATAATTGAAAATGTAGAATTACTTCAGAAGGAACAGAACAGCTTGTATTGTGACATCACAATTCATCATTTTGGTGTCATTGTAATTAGCTGTGGATGCCTAGGCTAGTGCCCCCCCCCCCACACACACATCTCACAGTTATGATTGTATAGCAGGGGTGTCAAACTGCCGGCCCCTGGGCTGGATGCATCATGCTGAAACTGCACCCACGTCATGCGACGTTGCGAGTTTGACACCACTGCTGTACAGTATTTCAGGCACTTGACAACTGATTCACCTTTATGGCCAGTTGCAGAATTCCACATTCACATGGCTGTGATTTACAATGATTTTTGCCAGTTTTTGACCTTTTTTGCCAGTTTCTGCATATACAAATCCATGGATTCATTTACAGCTGTGGCATTTGCTTAGTGACTGCCACATTTACTTAATAACCATGGTGTTTGCTTAATGCCTGCCACAAAAAGTCATAAAATTCGGTCTGGTCACCTGGGTACCTTGATTTAAAACCATCATGACTTACAACAGAAATTCTGGGATCTGTTGTTATAAGTCAAAGACTATCTGTAATGATGGAAGATCTATTAGGATTCAGTTGTTGCTACTGATTGGTCTGCAATAGTCTCAGTTTTACACGTTTCAAACATGAGCTGGTTAGCGGGCGGGTTGTGGCCAACACACCTTATAATTGGACATGATGACTTCTCATATAAATAATCTCTAAAAACAAATAAGAAATAAAATGTTCTGCCATAGCCTGTTTTCTGCTGACTCTCTCCTTGGAAGGAGATTTTTCCATCCAAGCACTTAGAAATGAAATTCAGCCAGTTCTAGTGCTGTGGCTGGACCAGCTTGTAATTGATACAAGCAGCATTGTAACAGCAAATATAAAAGATGCCCAGGAATACAAAATGTACAAAACATCTGGGGAGCAACATCTGAAATCTCACACAACATATATCTCTGCATGTGGTAGTAGGCCAACTCACCTCATGAGCTAACATCTTATACAACTCCTCTTTTGTCACTGTCAGCCTCTCACGATCCGTGCTATCAATCACAAGGATGATAAACTGATCGAAGAAAAAAGAACCACATTTATAAACTTGATCAAGACTAAGTGAACATAATTGAAGCAGTGGCTGAGTTCATAAAACACACTACAAGCATAATATATTGCAGTGTGATTTGTAAACCATGTTTGTGATATAACACATTGGGTAAGCTAAGCAATTTTATTTGACTTAATAAGCTAACCATTCCTGTGAACCTAGTTTTCAAGCGCCAGCCCTTGTACGCTCCAAACAGCATTGTTTTGGAGAAGAAGGAAATATCAGAAGACTTGGGAGAAAGATCCCATCACACAGGAAAACTTCAAAAGAATGAAAAGTAAGCATTCTTGATGGCTGTAGAAAACTATCTGTCTGATGGGAGGAAGTAAAAGACTAAGCAGGAGAGGAAATGCAAGTAGGACTAAACAGGAATATTTAGAACTAGAAATCTAACAGCAGCCTGGAATGTCTTACTTGCCAACATCTAAGATTTAAGTTAATATTATATCTTAAATACATTGGTCAGGAAGCGCAGAGGTTTGATGAGTGTGTGCTAAACCAAGGTTCATTATTTTGCACAACTACTAAGCTTGCCTTCATTCCAGGAACAACAGTTAAATAATCAAAATAAATTCCTAACATCAGATCATAATTCATGCAAGCCAGAGAATAAAATAATGTTAGGGAATTTCTGCAGAGGGAATGAGAACCAACTGAAAGAGACGTGGAGCTTTGTAAACATCTTCCCCAGGGGAACTTTTTTAAAAAGTAATTCAAAATGTATGAATAAATGTCTACTTGGCAAATGGTGTACTGTCTGGAAAGCATATAGGAGAAGGTAAGAGAAGAAAATCACATTTCATATGTAAAACTGTCAAGAATGCAGTTTTGGCATATGAAGAATGAGTCTCAGCTTGCCTTTGTTCTACCAAAACAGAAATTATGACACAGTCAAGACTCACGGGTAATTCCCATCCCTCACAAAACGCACACGTAAGCAATAACTTTGCATGAAATAGCAGAATATCAATACATAAGAGGAAGTAGAGTGACAGAAAACAGCTACTAGAGAAAACCAAACATAAGATCAAAGAGATATCCAGAATATTCTTCCAACCAAGTTCCCCTGAAATTCAGTGGCAAATTTTAGATTTTTAGTTGTCTGGTTTTCACATTTGAAAACAAACATGAGAACAGATACACAGACCTCTTTTTATATCAGGCCAACATGTGCCATTCAAATAACCTTTGGAAACTAAAAAAATACTGTTAAAAAGCATGTCCACTGAACACAGAAACATTGCCCTGGAAGCTACTTGAACAGTATTTCTAAATAGCATAATTACCATGCTAGCTTTCACCAAAGTGGTGCCTCTGAATCAGCGTTTCTCAACCTTGGCAATGTTAGGATGTATGGACTTCAACTCCCAGAATTCTCCAGCCAACATGCTGTGGAAGTCCACACATCTTAAAGTTAGCAAGGCTGGAAAAAAGCCCTGTTCTAAGCTGACGTCTTTTGAAACCTTTGACTTTGCTTCTGTTATCGACTTACCGGGGGAGGGGGGGACTGACATAGCCACAAGATTTTTGACAGTTCAATATTGGTTAATATTGGCAGGTCTTAGAGCTTTTTGGTAAGCATTGTACTCACATAAACTTGATCCAGAATTAATGACATCTTAGTATGAGTTCACATTTAACCATTATGAAGCATTAATTGAGAGTAGTGTATTAATTATATATATTGTAATGGGATTTAAGTTCTTTTTAAAAATACTCCGCCCATGTGCAAAACTGTAATTTCATTTGTGTTTTAACTTACCATAAGTGCTTTATGCTTATGCAAATTTTTATTCCCAAAAGTATTGCCCAAATCTTACAATCTTATGTGCTGCTTATGAAGCTAAGTGTAAACAGGAGAAAAAACAGCGGATGTACAATGGGCATTTCTGAAACAGTGTCCAGGTAACCTTCAACTTGAGACCAGAATTTTCATTTCTAAGCAAGGCCGTTAAGTGAGCCGTGTCTGGGGTTTTTTTTTTTGCCACAGTTGTTAATCACTGCAGTTGTTAAATGAATGTACAGTCGTTAAGCAAGTTCAGCCCCCCCCCCAATTGACTTTGCTTATCGGAAGCCACCTGGGAAGGTTGTAAATTGTGATCATATGACTCTAGGATGCTGCAACGGTCAGCTCTGGTTGCCAAATGCCCGAATTTTGATAATGTGACCTTGGTATGTTGCAACAGTTGTAAGTGTAAGGACTGGTTATTATAAGTTACTTTTTCAGTGCTGTTGTAATGTCAAATAGTTACTTAAATGAATAGTTGTTAGTCAAGGACTATCTGTACCTGAAACAAAAACTTTAAGCAGTTAAAAGTGGACTTTGCCCCTTCTATGATTAAGTAGAGCCTGTATCTGGATAGCCGTATATTTCGTGTATGGTGTCCCACTAACCAATGACAAAAGAGCAGTTTTCTGATTCATGTAGATTATGGAATAATTATAACGTGACAGCTCAAGAAACACAACTCTGGATCGTTATCCTTCCTATTATTCCATATCAAATCACCAGGACCAGATAGATTACACCCCAAGGTTCTCAAGGAACTGGCAGATGTGATCTCAAAACCGCTGAACTATATTTTTCAAAGATCCTGGAGCACTGGGGAACTACCAGAGGACTGGAAAAGAGCTGATGTAGTTCCCATCTTCAAAAAAGAGGAAAAAAAATGGATCCAGGAAACTACAGACCTATCAGTCTGACCTGAATACCTGGGAAGATTCTGGAAAAGATAATCAAACAACGAATCAGCGAACACCTAGAGGCAAACAAAGTCATTACTAAAAACCAACATGGGTTTGTCAAAAACAGATCATGCCAGACAAATCTTATTGCATTCTTTGACCAAATGACAAAATTAGTGGACCAGAGGAATGCTGTGGATATAATTTACTTAGACTTCAGTAAGGCATTTGATAAAGTAGATCACAACCTACTACTCGGTAAGATAGAAAAATGTGGGTTAGACAGCATCACCACCAGATGGATTCATAGCTGGCTGACCGGCCGTACTCAGCATGTGGTCCTCAATGGAACTGCATCTACATGAAGGGAAGTGTGTAGTGGGGTGCCCCAGGGTTCTGTTCTAGGCCCAGTGCTCTTCAACATCTTCATCAATAATTTGGACGAGGGGATAGATGGGGAACTCATCAAATTTGCAGACGACACCAAGCTGGCAGAAATAGCCAATACTCCAGAAGACAGGCTTAAGATACAGGAGGATCTGGACAGACTTGAACACTGGAGTCTATCTAACAAAATGAAATTCAATGGTGAAAAAAGTAAGGTTCTACATTTAGGCAAGAAAAATCAAATGTACAGATATAGCACAGGTGGTACCTTGCTCAATAGTAGTAACTGTGAGAGGGATCTCGGAGTCCTAGTGGACAATCACTTAAATATGAGCCAGTAGTGTGCTGCAGCTGCCAAAAAAGCCAACACAGTGCTAGGCTGCATTAACAGAGGGATAGAATCAAGATCACTTGAAGTATTAATACCACTTTACAATGCCTTGGTAAGGCCACACTTGGAATACTGCATCCAGTTTTGGTCACCACAATGTAAAAAACATGTTGAGACTCTAGAAAGAGTACAGAGAAGAGCAACAAAGATGATTAGGGGACTGGAAGCTAAACCATATAAGGAACGGCTGCTGGAATTGGGTATGTCTAGTTTAATGAAGAGAAGGACGAGGGGAGACATGGTAGCAGTGTTCCAATATCTCAGGGGCTGCCACAAAGAAGAGGGAGTCAGGCTATTCTCCAAAGCGCCTGAAGGCAGAACAAGAAGCAATGGATGGAAACTAATCAAAGAGAGACGCAACCTAGAACTAAAGAGAAACTTCCTGACAGTGGAACAACCTGCCTCCAGTAGCGGTGAATGCTCCAACACTGGAAGTTTTTAAGAAGAGACTGGACAGCCATTTGTCTGAAATGTATAGGGTTTCCTGCCTGAGCAGGGGGTTGGACTATATGACCTCCAAGGTACCTTCCAACTTTTTATTATTATTATTATTATTATTATTATTATTATTATTATTATTATTATTATTATTATTATTATTATTATTATTATTATTATTATTACTACTACTACTACTACTACTACTATTATTATTATTATTATTAGTATTATTAGTAGTAGTAGTAGTATTTTACTTCCTTATATTTATTTACTAAAGTATACCCAACCCACCTCTGTGTTGGAATAGTAGGTGTTCCAAGTAGACCGCAGATTTTCCTGACCACCAATATCCCACATCAGGAAATGTGTCTTGTGCTGGGTGATTTCTTCCACATTGCTTCCAATTGTAGGTGATGTATGCACAACTTCATTCATTAGGCTGATGGAAGACCAAAACCATACACTGCTTTGTTAGTGTCCCACCCTCCGCATACATTTCTATCTTCAAAAAAAGGCCAAGGTGTTTGAGACAGTTAAGCCTTCAAATTACCTATGTTCCAAAGGTTTTGGAAAAATTGAAACAATTACTGGAAAAAGTACACAGAGGGACTAGTATAATAATCTTGATTCTTGTTTTGGGGATAGAAAGAAATAAAAGAACAGGGATGCTATAAATCTCTCATGTCCCTTGAACAACAGTTGAAATAAGCATTATGTGGCCCTTCTCTATCCTTTTAGAATACTTCAAATAGTTTGTTCTAGATTTTTAGCCTTGATTTGGCATTTTTGTCCGCCTAATATTCTTCCCAAGGGCCTGGGATAGGCAGATGTGGTTGTCTAAATTATTAATTTATTAATAGTGAATATTGAAATATAACATATATAGTACTAAATAGCATTATGATTCTTGTTTGTTGCACAGCCAAGCCATGTCGGATGTGAAAAAACAGATCCACACGTGAAGGTTTAATGTAACTGATTTATTGCTAAAAGCCTATGCAGTCAGTATCTAGTTAGAACTAGATCAGGTTCAACAGCAATCAAAGGAGCTGGACCTATTTCATTCATGGCTACATAAGAACTCTGTACTGATCCCTCTTTTTACCCCTCTCCCTGGCTCTGCCATTCCTTCTCCTATAGCCAGACATTTAAACTAAATTTAGCATTTTTATCCATTATCAAATCCTTGCCAATTATCAGGGATATTACTATTATTTTAAATGGCAAAAGATAGGTCTTATCTTTTTTCTGGATTTCCCCCCTCCCAAATTGAGAAATGTGCTCATATGTGTTTCATACATGATTGATGGCTGTATCCTAAAGGGAAAATATATATAAAACAGACACTCAATTGTAATCCATCAAATACTTTTAGAATTTGAATATCGACCTAGACTACTGTATTACAAAAGAGCCACAATTTAGTTGTAACACGCAAAGTATGTTCTAATATAGTGTCTTTGAAACTTGGCAGCTTTAAAATGTGTGGATTTCAATTCTCAGAATTCCCCAAACCAGCATTTAAAAAGAACGGTTCCATTTTATAAGTCCAACTATAGATTAAAACAAGGCAATTGGTTTTTTTTGTGGCCAAAGTCACTCTTTTTTTAACCATGAGTTCTCCAATTGCTGAGAACTTTGGGGAAGAGATGTGTAGTAGTGACACAATGATATCACTAGAGAATAGATGTGGATGTTTCTTAACTTTGGAGTTTCAGGTTTCATTTTTAATAGATTTATTGTAATAAGTTTGTTGCACTGTAATAATTTAGAGGTTTTCTACAATTTTTTGATGGGAACTGCAAAGAAAAAAAAAGGTTGCAAATATATGCAACTCAGGATATGAGCCGCCTAGCCCTGGATTAAACTCTGTTGCAAAGGGAACAAAACAAGAGATTTATTTAAACTAGACATTGGATACTGAGAAAGGAGAAAGACCAGACACTCACAACTGGTAAAGGATGGTGGTTTTTCCAGCATTGTCCAGTCCAATAATTATCACTTTATGCTCTAGAAGAAGAGAAAGTACAATATGTCAGAGTTAATGTAGAAAAATATAATTGCTATTTCTTTAATTCACCTATAAACTGAATTATTACTGCAACAATGCAATTGAGGAATAGACTGAGGGAATGTTTGCTCAAGACTACCAACCGAAATAACTTGAATCTGTTATTTTCATCCATACCTACACAAATATGCATGCAACTGATATACCTTCTATTCCTTACCTCTTTTCAAATCCTTTGGATTTGTGGATTTGTGGATTTATTAGGGATTCTTGAGTAATGCAGGAATAATGATTTGGCCTGGTTTAGAACTTACCATGCATTATGAACCCATTAGTTCAACGCTTGCTTATGACAAACCATCAGTAATCTTGTCTGAAACCACACCAATTAAATTGACTTAATTACAGCTTAATATTTTTATCTCACCCTTCATCTTGCCCCCCACTGGAGGAGCTTTCATTGACAAGTATATCAGACATCCCAGGCAAATATGTCCTGGAAGAACAATTCCCTTGCTAGAGGCTCCAAACTCAAGTTGAGGTAATTAGGATTCTTAGAATCTGCAAATCTAGAATCACATATCCATGTGACTAAGAGTCCCATGTCTTATTTGGTACTACCTAAATCTAGGCAGGTGAAGGTTCCAAGCTAGTGCGCTAGCATGTATAAAACACGGAGAAAGTATCCCTGATAGTAATATATCCTTACTCATATCCAGTGCTTTTTTTGTAAGAAAAAAGGTGCCGGAACTCACATCTTGTTAATCTTTTATTTAAAAAATTATATGTTCAGTTCTTAACATAAATTTAATTTATTGTATTTAAGGCAAATGTTCATAGTAAATTTTACACTAAAAATTAAAAAAAGATTTTCAATTCACCAACGATTTTTTAAAATAAAGAAATTATTTACCTTTTGCACGTAGTCAACCACTACACACACACTCACACACAACCGTTGTGTAACTAAACATAATGGTCGCCGCCTGCAGTAAGCACGACCACACGACCAATCACAAGCCAAGCAGTATCACAAGCGCCATCACAACCAGCGCAGACAAAGTATGCATGCATCAGATTCGACACACAAGCAGCCCACATGCACCATTTAAATGATTTTGCCGCCGACCTGCTACGCTTGACAGGGCAATTCAAGTCCACGTGGACCAAACATCAAATTTTCAAAAGTTACTTTTAAAACTTGGAAAATCCATCGAAAAAAGGTGCCAGAACTCTGTTCCGGTGCGTTCTATGACAAAAAAAGCACTGCTCATATCTATTCATCCCTTTTTTGTAATCTCTAAATACTTAACCCAGTGTTGGATATTGTAAGATTCACAGACCAGTGTTGGAGCAAGATTTGTATCAGTTGCTGTTTCTTGATTGTCTAGTTTTTCCTCTTGGCCCACTTAATTTTTGGACTACGCTTCATGCTTATCCTAGCTGGCCTTTGTCGCAAGAACTGAGGTCTGGCTACATCTGAGTTTGATGGCTTCACACCCAGTAGAAGAGAATGCATTTCTCTAAGGAACTCGGGAATTATGTACATCCTTCTCTGTTTCACATAACAAATACTGTTGGATAGATGATGTTGAAATAACATGACTACCTCATGTGTGGCTTCATTACTGAGCTGGATTTTGAGGTGAGCTTTACTAACCCTAATTTGATCTTTTCAATAAGCAGAAACAATGAGGAGAATATCCTGATATTGAGAAATGACATTGGTCAAGTCCTGTTTCAGCTGTTTCTGATACTACACCACATAACTTTAAGTCTATACAAGATGCTTAAACTTTTGTACAAACATGGATTGGAATTTTTTATGCTCATATTATATTATGAAGTTTTAAGGGTTCCTAAAATCTTATGTTTCGAGGCAGCTGATTATTTCCTCCCAATCCTTGTCAGTGGTTTTATTCTTATTGCTGATTCAAAGGTTACAGAAAATGGCAAGTTGCAAAATCTACATTTTTAGATCCTGTTTTGAGCTTATTAGTTCATGTGGATGGAGAAGACGCTGACACTGTAGTTTGGACAAGTAATTACTTTCTGCTAAGTTTGGCTATTCTTTCTCAATGTGTGTAAACCAAAAATCATGTTGTATTGTGTACTATTGTCATTTAAGATGGTGACTATGATCTGGGAGGGGACACAGTTGTCAGAGGAGGAAAGTTAACCCCCTTATCATCTATAACTGGCATTATGAGAGGAAGGGAGAAAACGGTAATGTTACTCATAGTCTTCTTTATCCCTGTTTGGAGAAACAGAAGAAACTTGTTGACCTCCAGCACATTCCTACTTGGGTTCTTGCTTAAGTCTACTGGATACCAATCTGCTGCATTACCTTAGGGAATTTTGAATTCATTTTTCAAACTCAGTACTTACGGTAAGTGCAAAGTACTCCCTGCTTTACATAAAACCCCTTTATTACCATAGGTAAATTTATGAAGCCATAAAGGTTAAGACTCAGTCCAGTTCTTAAGAAAGTAGAGACACAGATACATATACACATATATAGGTTTTATCACAACCATTCAAAATTACAACAGCTCTCCGAAAAGGTACTTAAGACCTGGTTCTGAGGTTCATGTGACTGCATTTTGGGCATTTGGCAAGAGGCCCAGATTTATGTCCATTTGCAGCATCCCATGATCACATGACCACAATTTATAATGCATTTGCTGAAACCCAAAATTAATTTGTTGGGTTTTTTTTGCAAAAACGCCCCATAGCAAACAATGCATTTGCTTAAAAACCACTGTGTTCACTTAATGACCGCGGTTATTCCTTAATGGCTGCCGCAAAATAGATTGTAAAATTGGGTTGGTCACATGACCCACTTTACAACCATCATAACTTACAACCATAATGAGCAGACTCCATTATGGTTGTGTACATCAAGGACTATACATGCAAATTTTCATCTGAAGCATGACTGGACTCATTCTAATTTTTCCTAATACACTTACTGAACTTTGCTTGAGAATACCAAGGGAACTGCTGACTCCTGGGGAAGATATGGTGGATTGTCACAGAGCTGACAACTATGGAAAGACCAAGGAACCGGTGAGTAAATTGATTCACTGAAACATCTTTGGATAAGGAGATGAGGAGAAATCAGATACTCTTGACATCTGTTCCAAATAAGGAAACTGCAGGATAATGGCTTTTCCCAAGTTTGAGCATAGGTAGATGACGGGATAAGCCATCTTGCTTACATTTTCTAATCTCATTTGGAAATTGCCTATTATTAATCATCCCAAAGATATTAGAGACTTTCTGAATGGTAAGTTTGAAAATCTTCACGAGGTGAGTTTATCTTTGACTCTGAACAAAAAATTAATTGTAAGTTTAAAAAGTTAAAGGGTTTAAAATAAACAGTAAAACAAACAAAATTTTGATCCAAGAAAGTTATAGATGGATTAAGCAACCAGATAAATTTAGAATATTGACTTCTACCATTAAGATTTCAGAATTATCTGTAAAAAAAATAAATACACAGTCTTTCAAGGGAAACAGATTTAATTTGGCTTCCCTGGCTATTGTAAATCATAACAAAAGAAAAGTGATGATTTTAGAAACTGAACATTTGAGGGGATTAAAGATTTTAAGCAGAGGGGGAAAAATACAATCCTATTCTTGATGACAGTTAATAATGAGACTTAGAAAATGACACAAAATGTTATAGTATCGGAAATATTAAAGGAGATCTTTGAAAAATGGAACCAGAAATTAGTAACTACAATAGCAACATTGTCAGTAATGTTTACTTCTATGGATAAACTATGTGTAAAAGATGATAATGAAGGAAGACGAAGGTGGAATAAATTTTATTTGACAAGGCAGAGAAAGTATCAGAGGTGATAGGCCAAGAGAATGATTTAGAAAAGGATGCTTTACTGAATATATAAAATATACAGTAAAAATTAAAAATGACCTGGAAAACGTGTTTTTACTGTATCTACAAAAGAGGCTGGCTAAAGCCTTGAGGAATTCTATGAAGATAAAGAATAAAGAAGAATTGAAGAGAAATCAAATCCTACCACAATATTTCACTGAATTAAAGACTAGACTTTTTGAAAATGTTCTGGCAACTCTTTATGGACTTTCTGCTAACACCAGGATTGAAAAGCTGGGATTTTGTGGGTTTGTGAATAGATCAGGGATGTGATGTAGGATGAAGAAATAGCTGCTTAATCTTATAAAGCAGTGATTCTCAACCTTGGCAACTTTAAGATGGGCTACAGTTGTTAGGACTATAGTTAGGACTATAGCCATAGTTGCCTGGGGAATGCCACACATCCTAAAGTTGCCAGGATTGAGAAATACAATTATAAGGGGTGAATACTTACAAAATGCACTTATACTTGTTGTGATGAAGGTTGGAATTCTCTTCTTTGAGTATTTCTTTTTTTATTATGTTGTTCTTTTTTCTTTTTTCCCCATACTTTTTTCTTTTCTTCCTTTCACTCCTCTTTCTCTAAGTTTAGTTCATATTTGGTTTTACTACTGTAATTAAAATTCTTAATATAAATTATATTAATAAAAGAATACAGCAGGAATTACCAATGAAAGATTTCTAATGCAAGCTAAAGGAGCACTATTCCTGGTATGTGCTGGGAGACTCCAGGGATGCACAATTATTTTTCTCAGCTATCTAAAAGGTAGGGTGCACGCGCACAGCTGGCTCAGGAATTCTGGGAGTTGAAGTCCACGAATCATAAAAGAGCCAAGGTTGCCTACCCCTGGTCTAGGACAATTTGAAACGGCTAACTTGGCGTGGCCAATTCTCCTCTGCATGCTCCCCACCGCCAAGTTGTAGGATGACAACTCAAGACAACCCATTCGGACAACTTTGGACAATGGGGACAACTTGTTGCTTGCAGCCGGTTGGGCAGGTGGGCAGAGTGCAGAGCGGCAGCAGCTGGGGGCTTCACACTGGAATGAGAGCCGGGTGGGCAGGTGAGTGTGTGGGTGGGCAGAGTGCAGAGCAGCA